GCAACCAGACATCTCCCCTTGCAGTAGTAACACCCCTTAGCGCAACCTGGTGCGCAGACAAAATACAAAACTGCGCGGAGGAAGCCTCAATCCCACCGCGCCACTCCAGGGCGGGCGGGCGGGAATTTTCAGTTGCTGCAGGAACCCAGTCGACGACACCTGCAGTTCCTGAAGCAATATCAAAACCTGAACAACAGGGGGTGTAACAAATGGTGTGGGTGCTTAGGGAAGTGTTAGAAGCATGCACTGGCCTAAAAGCCCAACCCGCCCCAGTACAAGCAAACCACCACCACCACCACCACAACCGCTACAATTACACACTCAAAACACCACAGCAACGTGAGCTGCACACATTACTCAACAGCATTTGAAACCTTCAAATGCGGAGCAGCAGGAGAACTGTAGGTGAACTACTATGTTTGGGGTCTATTGGACTTGCACTTCCTGGAATTGCATCCTAGTGCTTCAGGATCTAGCCAAATCTTCCGCAGATCTGACATCCGTGGCTTACGCATACCATATCAGACATGTCATACTATATTATACTATATTATACTATATGATACTATATTATTCTGTATTATACCCTAATATACTTTATTATGCTATATTATGCTATATTATATTATACTGTACTGTATTATACTATGTTAATGGGACCGCGGCCTGGCTGGCCCTGCCCACTGCCACCAGGGGCGCTAGCAAGGTTGTGGTGGCATCAAGCCTCAAAGGCTAATGTAGTACAAAATAGTATAACATAATACAATACAGTATAATATAGTACGATATAATATAATGCAGTACAAAATAATATGATATAGTACAATACAATATAATAATATATATATATATACAAACTAGTATGATATAGTTTAATATGGTATAAGACCTCTACACGGTCCTCTGTTCGCACACCCAAACTTATGTTAGCGGCAACACAAAAATCGAAGCGGCAACCCCGGGCAGAATCTGCAAGACCAAAATCTCGCCCGACTCCCGGAGCAAACTCCAAGAAGGTAGTATATTGGAGTTATATTGGGATGATGGAAAAGAAAATGGAAACTACTGTAGTATAGTGGGGTTATATTGGGATAATGGAACAGATAGGGGTCTGAGATTTCCAGCGCAACATGGCGGAGAACGATTCGCCGCAGACCAGGCGCCTGCATACCATGGCTAAACAGGCATCCCCCCACCTGTCACCTTCCCAAGAGATTTTTTGCCGTCCCCAACCGCAGGTCCATTGAAAGAACGAGCTGCAACATCAACTAAACGTAATTATAAACATATGTATATATATACCATAAAAGCATGTATATACGCACACAATAGTGTTTACGTTACCCTTACAATTTCTGTTCCCTGCGGCCTGGGTGGCAAAATCCTCCAGGACCTTGTTTCCCCAGTCCACAGGAGCCAGGTCCAAGTCCTTCCATGTCCCCACAGAACTGAGGTTTCACAAAATCAATGGGTCTAGGGTTTTAAGGTCTGAAAACAGATGTATCCTTGCAAACCTTAAGGATATGTGTAGCATACTAAACTGATGGGGTAACTCAGGATATGAAAGTTATTATGATAAACTGTGACACAATGAGTACTGGAACGCAACAAAAGACACTGCCATTCTGCTGGACTTGAATCCGTACGCAGGGAACTCTGTGCCGAGCAAACAAGATCTAGGTCGGCTTACTGTAAGCATCAAGCATTGCAATCCTGTATGTCACTGCAACCGCGGGCGATGTCAACAGGATCGACCGCCTCAATTTATAGAGCTGTGTTTTTCGGTGATTAAGCAACATCAGTCTGACTCTGGGGGGCATGATATCCATGTTTACAGCAAACCTTGAGGATATTCTGCTCTTGAAAATGAGACCGTAAAATTGCAAGAGGTCCCACCATCCAAGCAAGCCCTACATCACATGTCTAAGGCCCTGAGCCATCGGGACCTTGGCCTGAGAGTCGAGCATCGGAGGGGTCTGACTGCTGGCAGAGCTGTGCGCACAGGCCTCCGTCCCAGAAGTACTCATGAGTTTGAGAACAGCCCATAAGGTCGGCCCAAAACGTTCGCACAAGAGAAGCAAGACCTGATTCTATGACGGTCTTGAATAGAAAGACCAAAGAAACTGTCCAAAGAGGCTCCACGACTCAGACTGAAGACCCTTCCGGCGCATCTTAGCTTGTGTAGCAAATTGAACATGTTTTTCTGCTGAGGCTACAGCGCTGCAGCAGAGGACAGCACCTTCTACTAAGGGCAAATGGTTTCTCAAAACTGTCAGTCATGTCTCGGCTGCTTTACAATAACACATTCAAATGCTTCAGGTCGAAAAATACATACAGCAAGTCCATGCAAGTCCCACAAGTTCCCAGCATGGAGAACTAAATGCTGCCCCCATCTCCTGCCCTTCTGACAGACACAAGGACTCGGTCGCCCGCGCAGCAATGGTGCGAGTGCCACCCGGCACTCGAATGGCAACAGCCCCTTAAATTCAAAGTCACAGAATTCATTCCAAGGAGGACTCAAGGCTGCTCAGCTCAATGCCCAGATCCAACGTCAGCAGACGGCGCCCCAACCATGCCAGGGCTCGCAACTGCCAGGAGGCGCTCCCGAATCCCAGATAGCAGACACCGGCAACAGCTGCACCTATTACCACTGCTACTGCTAGCACGGCAAAGCCTACTACGACTATCACCACCACAACCAACACCACGAAGCCGACAACAGCTATTGCTTCTACTGTCCTTGCTACTGTGACGATTTCTCCTCCTCCTCCTCCTTCTAGATCTTGTCCTACTATAACGGTAGCCACCACGACAACAACTACTACTCAACCTGCTGCCGCCGCTTGTGCTCCTCCTACTACTGTTATTGCTACTACGTCCTCTTCTGGGTCTACTTCTACTCCTACTCCCACGCCCAATCCCACTCCCACTCCAACCACCACCACCACCACCGCCGCCGCCACCGCCACCGCTGCCACCGCCACGACGACGACGACGACGACGACGACGACGACGACGACGATGACGACGACTGCAAACTCCTCCTGCTGCAGCTGCTGCTGCTGCTACTGCTGCTGCTGCTGCTGCTACTACTACTACTACTACTACTACTACTACTACTACTCCTGCGCCTCCTTCTGCTGCTGCTGCGGCTACTAATACCGCTGCCCCCAGACTACCACTTAAAACTGCCACATGCCGAGAACTGGATTACTACCACCACTGCTGACATAATGGCTTTCATGGCCATCACTCTAACATGCAAGGCATGCCTCCAAGGAGGTTCGACGAGAAGGGTTCTCCGGTCGGAAGCTGATCGCCTCGGATTTGCTGGGCTGATTCGAGGCCCCCACGAGACCGGAATACTACACCCACGAATACCGGGCAACAACATCCACTAGCACCAGCAAAGGAAGGCGCCAAATGCTGCAGGCGAGGACAATACTTCGCAAGGCCTGACGCTGGTGCGTTTATGCAACTTCTTTTGCAAGTGCGAGGACTTAGCCGCAAACGATCCAGAAGCTTCTGAGGTGCTGGGAAATCCCCTCCGAAAGAGGAGGGATCTACCTCAACAACAGCCAGAGGGCCCCTATGCAAGGCTTACCCTTCTGAACACACCATGGGCCTCTAGAGACTCCAAGAGGCGCATCCCGCAAACTAGGCGGAGCAAATGCCTTCAGCGGCCCAAATCACCCTCCCCAACACAGCCGAATCTTTCACCCAGCTCAACTGAGCCCCGAGCCGTTCACCGAATCGAGGAGTGTCACAAATGGTCAGCTGCCGAGCCTGACGCTCTGCAGCTCTACAAACTACGAACAAAGAAGAGCAAGATATGCAAGATCCAGAAAGAGAGCAGGAGAGACTAAGGGCTAGACGTTGCGGCAATGCTGACCCAAGAAACGGAGGCAGGCGCTCTGCCATTTTGTGGGCACTCGCACCTGCATGCCAGAACTGGGAGCACAAATACCCCCTTCTGCGCCAGAAACTGCATGGCGGACCCAGCTCAGGGCGACGTGGGGCTGTGGCTGCGCAGCCTCATCTCACAAAGCCCCGCACAGCACAGGCATCCAGCATAAAATGTCAGTGGCTGTTCAGTAGCCTATCAACAGAAGTACCTCCTGTGCAAATCCTATCCATCCATCAGTAGATGTGCCTAGAAGACTGACCTGAGCGGTTCATCTGGTACGGTCAACCAAGTGCTTCCCCCATACTCCAGAATCTATAGCTGGAAGCAAGATTGTAAGTTGGGCTCCCAAAGTTCGAAGGCATTCGCCGTGACGGCGTGACATGCACCTGTCACTGCCCCCAGCCCTGCAAGGCTTTGCAAGGCTTGACTGGCTTGGACCCTGCTCGATACCCTCAGAAGGGTGCAGCAAGACCTGCCGGTGAAGCGGAAGGCGCACATTGGCGACCAAGACAGCATGGAGAACCTGAGAGACTGCCAGTTCATCCCAGAAAACCATAAGCAATGAGCAATACTGAGACACCGAGACCGCAGCACATGCACCGCGATGAACAGTTCGGCATCGGCCACATCCTTCCAGGAGAGAGCAGCCTTCCAGGGCAAGTCATGTCGATGATCATTCAAGTCATTCTCCTTTAGCTGCATGTGGGTTGTGTCTTGCCCGTCCGAGGAAGCATGGACTTTGACACCCCACATCTAGAACGCTGCAGCATTTGGGTTCAGTCCCCTTGCGTCAGCGTTGAAGTATAACGAGAAGCGCTTGAAGACCAGGCCTGTACGATCTCCTCCCAGATCTGGGGACCTGCATGGCTGCGAGCCGCCTGCAACCAGCACAGCCAGCACATCTGACCAAGTGGCTCCTTGTCACATCTCACCATAAGCTTCTTTTAACCATGCACACTTGAAAGAAAACTCTTCCTGACTCCAGCATGGCCCACTTTGGGGCGCGAACTGCTTGGCTTGGTGCCAAGGGCTGGCTTCCGCGAGCCCTAAAGACACGGAGGCTGCAGAGACGCTCAGCCGATGCTCAGCTATCTCAGCCCCATGTCTGGAAGAAGTTTTCAACGAGCTCGGCACACTGCCGCGAATTGCTTGGCTCACCAGCTTCCAGCACATCCACCAGTATTTCAGCCATTTGCCGATAACCTTTGCGCATGGACAGGGCCGAGTAGACTCGCCACATCACATCAGCAAATCTCAGGCTTCTGCTTGCGGAGTCCAGGCGTCTCACCTCTTCAGGAGCATGGGCAGGAAGCTCGGCAAGCCACACCTGCCAAGTCTTGCAGAGAGCATAACTAGGGACACATGCACACTCCAACAAGGCACCTCAATGCAAGCCACCAGAAAGTGGCGCTGGAATTTGAAGTGCTCTTCAGAAGAAAGGCTGGGCTGTGGCTGTGGGAACCTCGGCGTAGACGTCGAAGGAAGGACTCCCTTGTATTCAACAAGCTCTTTTGCATGTAGATTCTGCAGAACGTCGAAAGCTGGCAAATGGAAAGGAAAGGAAATGCCGGCACAACATATTTGCTGCTGTCGAGCCTCACAACTTGTCTGAGACCCATCCTTTCGGCGGCATCACGTGCATGAAACAGGGCCTGTTGTGCTCGACTTGGTGTGAGCGAACCTCTGGCCAACTGTAGAAAAGTGCCTTTCAACTTCAGAGCTGCGCTGGTAGCGCTGGACCCTGCAACTGCCGCATCAGCCAAAGCCGATGCTCCCAGTCCAGAACTGAGGGCGCCCTTGGCAAAGGCCAGGGTGCCTGCGCTTGCTGCCGCTGCAACCAGTCCAAGCCGAATAAGTCGGCCATGGGAGGTTTGAAGCGACCGTGCTGTTTCCGTGGAAAGAAATCGCCGCACGCCCGAAGCTTCACCGAGCCTTGCAGGATTCCAGGGCTGGAGAATGAAACGGCAGCGCGGTGCAAAGTGCTCCTGTTCAGCTAAGCTACTTGCACCACCGTGCTAGCAGCTCGCTGTTCTTCGAAAGGAGATTGTACTCCACCTCTACCAAAACAGACAAACAGAATCTGCTAGGCCATGACTAGGAAACTGCAGGCACACGGCCCGCCTCATCGCCTACATCACCAAGGTTGACGACACTGAGCGCCCGCAACACTGTGAGAGGCCTTACACATGCGTATGCAAGACAGAAACACATTCAGGTTTGAGGCGCTGTAACTCTGACTAAACCTAACTCTTAAGCATGGTGCTCAATCCTGTGTACGCCTACTAGGACATGCTCAGCGGCTTTGGATCTTCTGATTGGGTCGAACATGTCCCAGATCTGTAGAGCAAGAACTCAGCGTGCCTTGGGTCAGTGCAGGCGGCTACAGCCACCCTCCTCAAATCTCTACCAGCCTCCAGGCTCTCATGAACATCCAAGCCCCCAAAAAGCAAGTTTCATCTGCAAGAACAATCGCATGCAACTATTTGAATTTTGGTTTGAAGCGCGACAGTTTGGGCGATCCAGTTTGGGACCGTGAAGGTGCAGTGCTTACCGGGGAGTATGCTTCACAATGCCGCCACAATCTCCCATACCCAGCGGCGTGACGCCATACCGACACGTGTGCACCTCGCGGCCTTGGGCAAAGGCGGCCAATGAGCACCTGGCTACAAACAAGTTTGTGCAGCCCAGCAGTTGTATCAAAGAGTGCCTGGATACCAAAACCAGCTGCCCATCAAAGACCTAGCCACAATTCGATTCGTGCTGGCTCTCTGTCTCCAGGTAGTTTGAAGCGGACCACAGCACAGCAGTTGAGATTGTCATGCACGCAATCTTCAGCACATGGCTGAGTATGCACGACTATGCCATGAAGGTTGTATGTCCAGCCCATCTGCCACGCCTTAGCTCGGTCACAAATGCCGGCCACATGCATCACGAGAAAAGCGGGATGTGGTCAGCAAAGCCACATAGATGTGGTCACCAGTCTGGACGTGTGCTTTGCGCATTGCACGCGCATGCCAGCCGGCTGCGCCCAAGCCAGCCCAGTCTACAAGCGACATTGCTAATGGCAGCCACTACATTGACATCTACAACCGCAGGCAGTTTTTGTCAAAGCTTCCTGCACATTTGTTCCACAGTCAGCCAGAAGCGGCACAATCACAGGGCATGCCCAAGAACTCACAGAAGACAAGGAAGGCGGCCTCACGCCATACACATTCATCTCGGCCACCTATTGCCTCAACTGCTTGTCGGGCAGCGGCGGCAAAGGCCTTATCTCAGGGCAGCCGATCTTGCCGTTTCCCTGTGTTCTCTGGGGCATGCACCCGCCAGGGCTCTGCTAAATCTCCAGAACTTCCGCATTCCATGCGGCACATGGAGCATCAGACTGACCCCACCATGCGTACAAAGGTCATATGACTATAGACTGCAACAGGGTTAACGCTGCCTCCCTCAAAAATGATCTAACAGAACACGAATGCTACACAAGGAGTTGCAAACTGAGCATCCACCGAGTTTTGAGCCCATACTAAACAACCTGCAGGGCATACTTGTCCCAAGGGAAGCTGCAGCTGACGTCATCTCAAGTCGGATCAACCAGGCACGGCCTTTTGTGTCACATGCAGTTGACAGGGCTGGTCAGATCCTGTCAGGCATGCTGACTAAACAGATTGTTCGGAGGAGGGTGTAGAAAAGCTCAGTTACCCTTCAACAAGCCATTTCTGGAAATACTTCCTGGAATACACAGAAGTCCTAGCTACACTGCCTCCACTTGAGATGGAGGCAAATCTGCGCCGGATCACTCTTCCGACTTTCGCCACTGAGGCTTGCCTTTACCTCTTCAGGGCAACAGCAAGCTTTTTGTACGGACAGGGTTCGTTCAGCTTCTTGTTTGGTCAGTATGAGCTGCCTTTTCCTTTGCTCTTGCCCTTTGGCGGAGGGCCTCAGACGTGATGCAACCTCCTTCATGAACACAATCAGAGAGTGCTGCCTGCCTTTGTTGCCACCCTCATCCACCTTCAGGAGCATCACGCCGCCATCGATCGAATAATTGTGCAGCCGCTGTAACGCTCGCCTTCCATGCTTTCCAAAGCCATAGCATGACCCTACGAGCCCTGCAAATTGAGGAAACCAGTAAAGGCAAAACCCTCGGCAACACTTGCAGGGTTCCAATTGGAAGCTTGACATGGATCGCTCAGAAATCATGTCAGGGCACAGATCCTTGAACATAATCCTGGGAGGCAATTCAACACCAATGCTCTAAGGTCTTGGCTGGGCACCGCGGAAGTGGTCAAACTGGCAGGTGCCCTTGCCCAAGGAGCTGCCATCCTGCATGGCATGGCCATGTGAGCTACAGTCCAAACTCCTTAAAGGAGGTTATATCGGGGATTATATAGGAGTTTAGACAATGGCTTATGTAGGCTCAAAACTGAAACTCAACCAAGCTCCGCGCTGTGTTTCGCCAGAAATCAAAGTCAGTGATTGTTCCAATCTTTTCAAACCTGCCAGGGAGAAGTCCACAGCATTAGTTTGTCTGACTGTCCGTTGCATTGACGGTGCCAAGGCTCCGGCTGACTTCGCAAATAACCTTCAGTGGTGCCGATTGGGACACCACTCCAGAAGACCTTGCGCAAAAACGCTCCAGCAACTAGCACACACTGGCCACGATACCGAAAACCGAGAGACTGGCTCTGGTGGCATCTCCAGGCCCCTTACCTCAACATCACAAGCGAAGCGAAATACTACCTTTTTTCAGTATACGGAGAACCGTATTTTCGGTCCTGCCTTTCCCCGCTGTTTGCGGAGGGCCTGGGCACGCAAAGCAATATTTGAGCAAGTTGCCTGCCTGCTGAGCAAGCGTATGGTCAAGCAAGCTAGCCTTCATCTTCGTCTTCGGCCCCGTTCTTTGCAGGTCTCTGACCATCCTAGTGCATGGGAGCATCGAGCGAAAAGGCCTACTCATCCATCACTCCTGACATGGCTGACCTTCACTTGCAGGCCTTGCGCACCAGAATACTTCTCCCGTCAATCGTAAAGCCATTGAGATTCTCAATGGCAGTGTCTGCCTGCAAGGAGATTTGTATAAGCCTTGTCGAGCCAGGCTGATTGCTTCGCAGCCTCTTCGGGCAAGTTAAACGTACATGTACCTGGGATGTGCTCAATTCAACACATCGAAACATTGAGAGTTTGCATGCTCAGGCTCCACGCCCATGCCGTGAGAACCTGAAGGGCATCCAAGTTGAGCATGGCGGCACTGGAATGCCATGATTAAGTGTTCAAACTGCATAGCATTGGTTGCAAAAGGCGGGTTTGCCATGAGGTCAGGGCGGCCATCTTTTCTTCTCCAGAAATCGAAATCTACGATGTCCCCATAGCGCCTCACAGCATTCTGCATTCATCATCGCTGGAACAGCACGTCAAGAACACGACATATCACACAAGCCAAGCTGCTCGAAAAATCTGCCTAAGTTCCAGTGCAGACATTGTTGTGCATTTGATGGTGCTGGGCTTCTTGTGGCTCGAGCGCAGGTAGCCTTCGTTGGTGGCATATGGCACGCCATCCCAAAACACACGGGCCTTGGGGGAAAGCAAGGAGTGATAGCAAAATTGTGAAGCAAAACATACTGCACCCCATGCGCACTCAGATAATTTATTAAAAAACGGAATTTGTCAGGTGTCCGGCTTCTGGGCTGCCTTTGCCGCCGCCTTTGCGTGAATAGCCTCATAGTATTGTTTAGAGAAGTGACGTCCAACAAAAGATTTTAGGCCTAAGTCCAACACGTTCGTTGGGTTTTACCAACATGGGTCGACCATCCACTTCAGACCCGTCTAGCTCCGTGACCTGTTAAAACCACCAGCGACACCAGTCTGGCTGTGGAAGTCCAAAATGTCAAAAATGTCGTGCATCAAGCCCGGCGCCGCTCTGCTCGCACCTTCTGGTGTTGAGAACGTCACAACACCTGCACCAATCGAGGTCCCACCTGAGCGTTCGCAGTTGACACTGAGTTCATACCATGGCAAGCAGCAAGAACTGTGTACAGCACGTGACGTCTCATACAACCTGAGTCCGAAATGTTGACGTGTCAAGGTGACGCAACATCAGCACCTATCTTGTTGACCAAGATACTCCACATATTGGACTTCGCCAACTTTGGAAAAAAGCCGTCGCAAATATCCAGCCTGGCATTGCCTACTCATACATGCTCACACTTTGAAACGGTGCGAAAAAGACAGGCCGGCAGTTGTATCGTACCTGCATGTTGACGCAAAATGACTTTGGAATGTCTCATTGCCAGTGGAGGGCACGACAGATTGGAGAAGAAGACCGTGCACTCCAATGGCCAGCGCCTGTGTTGTCTCGCAACAAGTTCCCAACAACATATGCACAGGCATCAACCCCTAAATCTGAAAGGCGATCGCTGCACGCAACTCATTGTTCCAGCTCTGCACTTGTCACAAATCTGTGTATGGTCCCAGCTCCATGCTACCACGACGGAATCCTCGGCATCAGCATGTTTAGTATTTGTATATGTATGTGTAAACGTGAACATATATATATATGTAGATTATTGTATATGTATATATACATATATCAAGTATGAAGGGGTTGGTGCTGCAGCGCAGGGTCTAGCCACGGGTTTTATCCAAATAAATCTCGGGGGGCCTAATGCTATAGCCAACGAAGTCGTAGATAAAACCACTGGCTTCACCCCTGGACCACAAAGAGTATGGCATCCTACAAGTAAGGACATCTTCTTCCGATTGGTGGCAACATGACTTTTATCCTCGCGACTGACCCCATGATGCCCATTGATCCCCCGTCAAAAACTCCAGATTGCGAATACTGCATGTCTTTGTGTGGTATATACAAAGAGCTTAGGGCTTCAGCTATAAGCTACTCCCCCCCAAGTAGGTAGCTGCGACTCCGCAGCCCGTTTGCGCTTGAGGAAAAAGTTTTGCCTTCGTAGCCCTGAGCCCAGCTAGGTTGGCAGTTTTTGCTTCGCATGCTAGCAGCTGATGCGATCCACCTTTTGACAGACAGCTCGGTGGGTTGCTCCGTAGTTCTGGAGGAGCCGCTGAGGCATACCTGCGGGCAGCACCTTCTTCAAGGGTGCAAGCAAACAGGTCACCAGGGACCTTAAAATCTGGGATACCAGGCACTCAGCCGATAGCGCCGCGGGCAAACCCGCCGACGGGCTAGCCCACAAGACCGGCACCAGGACTGTAAAACTTGAGAAAGGGCACCTGGGTCTGTAAACCAGGACAAGAAAGGCAGCTAAATCGCCTTTCAACCCAAGCGGTTTTCCTGCTCCTTTGCGCTTAGCCGCCATCGGTTCGTTACCATGTCTAGGGGCCAGTGGGACGATGAGTGCTAGAATCGGGGCAATAGCTCCTGACTGGCAACAAGATTGCGGTTGGAACCAGGGTAGCTGGGACCACCGCCTCATGGCAACATGACGCCCGGGAGGAGGAAGAGGAGGAGCAAGAGGAGGAAGAAGAAGACCCTTGGTCCGGGTGGCGAGAGCAGCTAGGACAAAGCTCCCAAAGCCACCATTGAACAAATCAGGCTGAGCTGAAACCAACTTGGTTTGGAAAGCCCCCTGCCTCGAGCAGTGCGGGCAACACCGCCTCCGGCAGCCAAAGCGGGAGGAACCGCCCAGTTGAGCGGGTGCTAAAGGACGGCTTCGGGAAAAAGAAAAACATCTCGCGCGCAGGCTGCAGCTAACCAACAAGCTGCTGCAGGCCCAACGGGGGAGAGCACCGCTGAGTCCTCCCCAACAGAGGCTCAAGAGCCTCCTGCAGCAAAGGCAAAACCGAGCCGAGGCCCGTGCCCGAGCCGGCTACACCACCAGCGAGTAGTGCCGCGCAGGACGAGAGAGCAACAGCTCCTACGAGAGCAGCGGCTCTACACCTGCGCACCCTGCCCTCGCGGCTGAGCGCGATGGAAGCACGGACCTGCTCCACCGACTTGAGGCCACCGCTCGCGCCGGTGAAGGAGAAGGCCCCCCATCGCCTATATACCTGCAGCCGAGGCTGCAAGGACGACCGCTGTGGGCAGCCCCACGCCTGCAGCTGAGGCTGCGGGTGGCCCCGCGAGGTGGGTAGACCTGGCGGGCAGCACCGCGGACTGTGTGGAAGCAGAGTACATGGGCTTGAACCTACCACGCCTGGGAACCAAACCCAAGAGCCCCCATCACTTGGGGGAAGCACGGTGCCATCGCCGCGCCGATCTGGACAGTGAGCCAACTAGCCCAGCTGACCACTGAAGGCCCGTCGTTTGAGATCCTCCTCCGTGCCATCGTCCGGCTGGCGCCATCGGCAAGCGGTTTCTTGGGTCTTCTGGACCTGGCCCGCTCGCGTTGAGTCAGTTAGCAAGTCGCCCCATTGCTGCTTGGCTGTTTTTCCTCTGACCTCTTTGTGTCTGCCGACTTGAACCCTGGTTGGCTGATCCACGGCCGCAGCGGCGAACAGCTGCACTTGGCAGCAGTAGGCGCAGGTCCGGCCAGACGGGTGCCAGCCGGGGTCCCTGTGGGCCCAATGCGGTGCTAGCAACAGCATGCTGCACAGCCACTGCCAACATACCAAACGTAATCGTGGCACAGGGCTATCCATGCCACAGTCAGCCACAATGGCCTGAGATCCTCGCGCCTCCGTCCACGGCTGGCCATATGCACTTGCACCTGCTTAGCCTTGCCAACCCAACGATAACAGCCCAATGGACACGGAAAAAATTGCCGCAACAACTTGGAAACCATTGTGTTGCAAATGAACATTTCTGACGACCAATACAGGTTAGTTGAAGGCACGATTACAATTGAACGTCCACAAGCATGCAACCGAGGCCCCAACATGAACAGGTTACCCGGCACTTATGCCTAATGACAACGGTGTTATGCGCACAGTGATTTCTATGCACCATTCATAAATAAAATCAAGTGAAGCCTGCATGCCATGAGGCAGCCCCTTTGGGGCGCAGGCAAATGCGGAGAAAACGCTCTGCAACATTGTGCTGGGCTAAAATGTGCATCTGTTGGCTGCTGTGCGAACATGAACAACGCATCACAGGAAAGCTGCCGTTCACGGAAATTCGCAGCATGATCCATCCAGCTGCGCCACCTCATGGTTCTGGCGTATGCTTCCAACTGTGTCGACCATGTGTTCTGGGGCCGTCCAGGATTGCGAACCCCTTGTGGTGACCAATCAAGGGTTTGCCTGACCCATGCGTGCGTTCGATGAAGGCGACTGACATGATGTGCTAATTGCCAATGTTGCCGCAGACATGTCCCTGCCCAACTTTGCATGTAGAAATGTTTAGTGAACTCGCGCACCCGTAGATTCCAGCTGTGTAACGTTTCAAGCCAAGGCAGGCTCCAGTCCAAACCAGGCACAGCGCTGCTGGAACATCCTGGTCAAATAGAATCCACGTCACGTGTTGGCCCAAAAAGCCTGTGCCGGCGCGACTAAGTGAGAATCCACGTCTGCAGTCTGATCTCCCGACACGGAAAGAAAACATCCCAACCATTTGTGAGTTTAAACTACGTCAATCTTTGTTTCCACATCCAAGCAGATGCAATCGGGCAGCTGGGCCTCCGTCGTCAATGCGCGTGAACTGCCCCCCCCACTCGTTGCCACCAGTATGCGCTGAATTTTGCTCCGAAGTGGCAAACAAGGTAATGGTAGCGCTGTTGTCCTACCTGGAAGAGGAGGCAGCCATTTTCTTGTGAATGTACTTTGACAGTTCTATGCCCTGCTTGAAATCAAGAGAAATGCGTATGTACTGCCCGAAAGCGTCCATGTGCTCGAAGGTGCGTTGAACGTCCAACGCAGTGGGAGGTTGACTCTTTCTGGGACCCTGCAGAGATTGATGTTGCCGAATGCTGAGCCCTGCGGCCAGTGGGTTTTTGCATCTTGCAGAGTTCCCCTGAAGGGAACCACCCAGCCTGCGGCGACTTTTTGCTGCAACAGCTGTTGCAATAGTTGTGGATTTTTCTGTGCTTGCGTCCATCTGCACGCAGGCTGGATCTGAGCAGTTTCGATGCGAGCACGTATGTGCTATTTCGACGACTTCCCACCGCTGCTGCTCTGTGAGAGGGTGGCTGTCCCTACCTTGCGCTAGGTGGCTGATGATGATGGGTTTCAAGGAGTTCTGCGGTGCGTACGTGGACCAATGCTTACTCGCGTCCTGCAAGTGAAAGCTTTTGCTGGGCTTGGTCCAGTCTGCGGAGCTTTGCATGCCTGCGCCGTGGCAAACTAATGGTCTACGGTGCACCACCGGCTTTGGTAGCAGATTGGCGAAGTCTGAGATGGGCCAACGTTTGTCCCCATGCGACGTGCAGAAAGGCCGCCAGCTGTTGTGCGAGGCTAGCTGGGTACTCTGAATGCTGGAGCTGAGGTAGCCCGACGCGGGTTTTGATGCCTGCGATGGAAATGCGTGAGCCAGGAGGGTGTGTGCAAGTGCATGCTATGCTGGAAATGGAGGAAAAGCTCGTGCTGGCATGCGGCCACATGTGCGCAGTGTGCTGTCATCTCGTGGAGCAATGTGATGTTGTCGTCTTGGACACGTTCAAGATTAGCCCAACCTCCCTCAAAGAATCAAATAGCGAAGTGTTGCCAGTTTGCCGGAGACCAAGTGTATGCATTCCAGGTCTAGATGCATGGACCATCCGTGTCAAAGCTGTGTTTTGCGCCAACTGATGGGTGCATTGATTGCTGACCGGAGGAAGGTAACTAGTGGCTTCGACGCGTGCATTCTGTTCTGGCGTATTATCTGGGACGCCGTCCATGAACTCTGGGGTGCAGGCCGTCGGAGCTTGAGTCTGGTGTATTCTTTGCGTGGGGGTACGGCCCAGAATGCGCCAAGTATGCCACTGCTAGCGATGTCATCCAAAATGTCGAGCGTGCTATCTGCATCGAGGTCGCAAGGTTGTATGAGGTCACCCCTTAGTGCTTCCAGTGCCGTGGAAGCTGGTGCGTGGATGCCTGCAAAAAGGTCGAGGAAGAGTCTTGGTTGCTTGCTGCTTGGGGGTGCTGTTGGCTGTGTCGAGCTGTCTGAGGACGTGGACGGCGACCTGGCTCGCAAAAGTGCAGGTTGCGTGGTGGCAGTGGCAATGGCTGCTTGTGCGGGCAATGCGGCGCAGAAATGCGTGAATTTGCAGTTGGGGTCGTTGCAGCTTGTGCGGTTGAAGCGCATGCAAGGCGTCTTGTTGCCGTGCTTGAGTTGCAAATGCTGGCCACGTGCTTGTCGTCTTTGAGCCTTGTTTGCACCTTGCCTTTCTTTCCGTTTCCTTCCCAGGGAGACTTGCCTTTGCACTTGCCCTTGTTGGCGAGGGAGCGTGCATGCGGTTGCAGTAGCGCGTGTATGTCTGCCTTGATGGAGGTCATCTCATGCAAGGCTTCGTCTAATGACCAACCCTCAGTGTGCAAGCTTGCGATTTCGTTCCACAATGTGCGATCTGTTTTGCGTGCATTGACAGTGCGGAGGCCGGAATCTTGTCTTAGCTGCTGCGTGCAAATGTCTAGGATGTTTCTGTCAAATGCCTTGAGAACGGCAAGGTGCGCGCCCCCACACAGTGCGATGGCATTGCAAAAAACTTGGTGCGCGCAAGCCATGCGGGCTAAGGTGTGCCTTGTCGACGTTTATCTATGGAGTCTCATCGAAGAGTGCGGAGCTGATGAATTGCGCCTCTGTGCGCAATGTGCGTGAAGCGCGTGCTTCTACAATGTCCTAATACTGCTTGTGTGACATGCGGAATTGCCACGGAACCCATTTAATGCATCCCTTGGGAGTGAACCAAGGGTGAACCAGGCTGAGCAGGCGGGCGGGGCATGCAATCAGAGTCCAGGTGTTCCCCTGAGTTGGCCTTGAAGGTTGCTTGCATGCGCTGAACTGCTTCGGTGTCCAGTCGGGGAGGTGCGTGCTCTGTCCATGCACTGCGGAAAAGGTGACATGTGTAAGCTAGGGAAAAGGAGAAATTAAAACATGCACGACAAAAGAAAAAACATGTTACGTCGATCTCATCAGCATCGTTCCCGGACGGGGTTGCACAGGATCGTCTTTTCCAATTGACGGACTCGATCTTCAAGACGTGCCCGTGCTTCCCCATCAGCTGCAGAAGCTACGGGTCCTCGTGACCTAGTAGAAGCGCTACATTGTAAAGACTGGTCTCTTTCTTTTTGTCTCACGTTGTAATCAGTGACCGCTGGACGGTTGTTTGAGGATTCTTGCTGCTGCACATGCAACCTTTGCAAACCATCATCCATCTTGCGCGCAAGCCGATTCTCCACATCTGCAATCCCTTTGGCTCAGGAAGGGCTCAAGCTTAACAAGGGGCCGGGTTTTTTTTTGTCTATGTGCGCCTCCCCGCGGGCCAGCCACGCGCTACGGACGCTGCCCCCCGTCTGAATCACGATAGTATGCCGACGCGCATGACGCGGCCATTTGGGACACCTTCCGCGCATGCATGGGTGGCCTCCCTGAAGAGGATGAGGATGCGCAGCATGCGTGGTCCATCGCATCCCTGCCAGCGGTACTAGGCGGGCTGGACCTCCACTCAGCGCAGCGCACAGCCCCCGCCGCTTACTGGGCCGCGGGGGCGAACGCACTGCTCGTGATCGGGGCCCGCGCGCCGGTTTTTGCCGAGCAATGTGTTTAGGCGCTGGAGAGCGTGCGCTTCTGCAAGCAGAAAGGTGGCATGACTGCCCCACCTGCCCCACCCTATTGCCGAGGGCACGTCCGTCCCCTGCCGAAGACGCAGGGCCTGGAGATTGGCCACATGGCTGGCAAATGCACGCGTCGCGGATACGCAACCTTCACTATCGCGACCGTGTGCTACTGCCAGCCTTGCCACCCAGCTCCCAGGCACTCTTGCGTTCCCAGGTAAGGCCTCAATACGGCTTGCGGCCATCCCGACTGAGCCAAGAACCACCCTTTTGCCCGCAGACATGCAGCTGGCGCTACGTCGCCGCCTGCGCCAACCCCTACCACTTTGCCGGAGCACGTGCGGCCCTACGCATGGGTGGAGGAGCAGTCGATCGATATTGCGATCACGCATTCGCGTGCCCCCGCACAAGTCTGCTCGCCAGGCAGGCAAAGATCGTGGAACATGCGTGGGTGCGTGTCGCGCGCGAGGCGCTGGGAGCGGATGGCCAGGTTATCCCCCAGCAGTGGCTTGCACACACTACAGCCCCAAACGTTGGAGTTGAAGACCGTCGGAAGCTTGACCTCGTCGTGTACGAAGCCACACCGCACTGCGGCGCGTTGTGCTGCGACGCCACGCTTGTATCCCCGCTCACGCGGACTGGGCACCCGCAGTTGTGCACCGTTACCATCGACGGAGCCGCGCTGCGAGTGGCCGAGCGATGCAAGCACGCCGCGTACCCGGAGCTTGCGCGTGCGGGGCCGCAGAAGCTCGTTGTCCTCGGCTCAGAGGTAGGCGGCCGGTGGAATGAGGGGGCACGCCGCTTCGTCCGCCAGCTGGTACGAGTGAGAGCCCAGCGAGCCCCGCCAGCCATCCGCGCAGCGGCCGCGGCGGGCTGGACACGGCGATGGTGGAGCATGCTGTCCGTGGCGGTCCAACAAACTTTCGCCAGCACAGCATTGGGCGGCCCCTGGCAGCAGCCCCTGCGGCTGGGCGCCTGCGAGGGCCCGCCGCTGGATGTAGTGCTGCAGTGGACCGGCCCTGTTGGCCCCAGCCGCTTGCCTTTGCGGCCCTGAGCTGGCAGCCGGTAGCTGGCGTAAAATAAGCTTTTGTAAATCAGGCGTAAAAAGGTCCGTGAAAAAAAAATCTTGTTGCCGGTGGGGTCATTGTCGCCTGCAGAGGCGGCAACACATCTGGCTCAGGCGCGCATCCCGCCGGACATCGCAGCTGGCCTCGCCATGGCACTGCTCACTGCGTTGCGCAAGCCAGATGGTGGAGTGCGGGGGGTTGCAACAGGCGACGTTTTTCGCCGCCTCGTTTCCCGGACGCTCGCGAAGAGCTGGGCTGACACATTCGATCATGCAACCCGCGTCCCTTCCAGTATGCTCTGCAGGCCAGAGCGGGCACAGACGCACTGGCCGCCCAGGTTCGCTCTGCGCTATCCTGCGGCCCGATGCCGTGCTGGTGTCCCTGGACGGCCGTAGTGCGTATGATTCCATGTCCCGCGTTGCCTTCCTGAGCAAGCTTAGCGAGGTTGCACCTGAATTGCTCCCGTTCGTACGGATGTTCTACGGCAAGCCCTCCAGCTGCTGCTGGTGGGATGAGGCCGGACGGCGCAGGGACATGCAGGGACGTACTGCAGGGTGAGGGTTGCGAGCAGGGCGACTCCCTTGCACCAGCACTGTTCGCCCTCGGAAAACACGAAGCCTTGGGAACGGCGGCGTCCCAACTGCACCCGGAAGACGCCCTCATGGCGTTCCTGGACGACCTCTACGTGGTCACGAGCCCGGGTCGCGCTCGCGCGGCCTCGAACACCACGACCCAAGCCGTCTCGCACCATTGCGGGATCGCATCCAATCTGGGCAAGTGGGCGAGGCAGTCTGGCGAGGCGACAAGGCACCAGCCGAGCGAGGGGTCTGTCGTGTTGGGCACGCCCATCGGGCGCCCTGAATTTGTCCGTGCGTGGACGGCGGAGCGACTGCACGAGGAGCTGAAGCTCCTGCAGCAAGGGTAGGTAGTTGATGCTCTTCAAGTGGTCATTTTTGCCTGAAGCGATGATGCGTGTGCATTGGCAAAATTGGAAACAACTCCAGGGCCTCCAAGGCATGCAACAACAGCTTGAGGTGTTCCGCTCGCATGCCTGACAGGCCAGCCGCACTGCCGCACCGGGCCTCGCGCAGCGCGTTGGCCACCGCGCGCGTTGAGAGCTGTACGGGGTGGGCGCCGCACTGGGTCGGTAAGCGCTGCCCACGTGGCAGCATTGCCAGGCGCGAGCTCAGCCGCCGTAAGGACTCGCCTGGCCCGAGAAAGTTCGCCTTGGCGGACTTTCGTGCAAGCCCGCAGATGCCTTCGTTCGGCGAGAACTTCCGTCTAGCTCTGCCGGCGCTGCCGCTGGGCGTCCGCTGGAACGTGCCGCGGCAAGCAGCTGACGCCATTCACCGCGCTGGAATGCTGACGCACGTGCGTGCGCGCGGCAGTGCAGCTCACGCTGCTGCTCGTGCAAGTGAGGCCGCCGAGAGTCCCAACAACGTGCACCCGGGTGGCATCCCCGAGGCACCCCTCACAGCCTGTCCGCCACTAGCCGCTGCCATCCGCTGCCACAGGCGACGAGGCCTTGGCAGCACTTGACGACGTGGATCTCACAGAAGAGCTACGGGATCCTGTGCCCACGCTCCAGGACGCACCGCCGTTCTTGCGAGCCTCGGTTCGGTCTGCCTTGATGCACGCGCTGACACGCTTTCGCGTGGCGCATGCGGGAGGGCAGGGCAATGGCATTGCTGCTGCCCGAGCATGGAAGCTCTTTCTGCTCGCCCCGCGCATGCTGCTGGCACGCCCCATGCAGCACAGCTCGCAAGGGCCGGCGACATTGCTCGACCACGGCCTCGGCGGCCCCGGCGGCGACTCGGCGCGGGAGAAAGTCGCGCGTTTGGGGCGTCAACTTCGCAGGCACCCTCTTCCACATGGCTCGGGCATTCGGGTGGAGGTGCACCAGCAAGGGCACGCTGCATGTCCTCCGCCAAGTCTTGTGCTGCAGTGGCCACCACATCACATTATTTTTCATCCTGCCCTTGTGTTGTTTTTTTTGGTTCGCGGCATTATTCCTGTTTTTTTTTCCCCGTCTGCACTGTCTGCTGTTTAGAGTTTTTTAATTTCCTTCAACTTATCGTTCTTCCCCTGTTGACCAAACTAGGCAGAGAAAAGGTCTATCGAGAGGGAATAACAAATCGGCTTGAAATATGCAATTTTTGTTAGGTTTCGGGCCGTTCCCCTCACACCAGGTCTGTTTCTCTCTCTCTCTCTCTCTGTCTCGCCGCATGTGTTCATCCGGTGGGCGGGCGCAGCCACACCATATGCTGCCCGAAGGCCCTGCCCGGCAAGGGGATGCCATCGGCCTCTGTTTTCTTTGCATAAAAGCTTGCACACGACCTTTTGCGATTGCAAAACTCCAACGTTTCTGCCGCAGAGGGCGCCCGGCGGGACTGCATCTAAAGATGTTCCCGGTTCTGTGCGTACATGTTTCCAAAACGTTGCCCTCAGGCGGGGTGATTCAGGTCAACCATGCTTTGGCTGCTGATCATAAGACGCGGAATACCATGACCGCCATGATTGTTTACAAGGGCTTTGGCTGACCATGGCTGACCCATGCGTTTCTAGCATGGTCGTCGCAACTATCATGTCTGGGTCCCAAAACAAAAGCGCGTGTGCACCATCCAGCACTGTCGTGCACTTTGTTTGGGACATCCCTGCCGATGTTTCGTGTTCCTGTTCCATGCAAAGACATGGAGCACGCAAGTGAAATACATCCCTTTTTCCGTGCAAAACGACTGACAAATTTGCACGCTGTGCAGCTCCACACGCTTTGCGCTGATCTGGGTTTTTGGTTTCCCCGCTGTCCCGGTCGCTGCTACAAACAACCAATGTCCATGGACCTGCCCGAGGCCTCCGCGACCTCGGCCTGCTGGTCGCAGGCCGCCTGGCAGAACACTGCTGGGCCGTCGTCCAGGTGGCCAGCAGGCCCAGCAGGCCAGCCTTGTGAGGCGGACCTGGGGTTCCGCATGAAAAGCCGCGCGGATCAGCTGCAAAAAGGCACGCGAGCCTTGACAAGTGATCGTGCAGCGTCTGGGACATCGAGTCTTGTTTGTTGGGGCATGACGTTTTTCCCTCTTTACATCAGGCATCGTCCTCAATGCACCTGAATCGTTTCAAGGGAATTCTGCGTGATATGGACCACATTTGCATGCCACCCGGCGCAAATGCAATTCCATTATGCCAAAATCGAAGCTGCAGCTTCGCATCTGTCAGACTGGAAGATGCGCAATCACCATTTTAGCGCCAAGCAATGACCCAGCCCAGCAGCATCTTCATGGCGAATTCATCTGCACGCCCGCTCCCCAGGCCAGCAGCTTGGCTCGAAATTGGTCACGGCGAAACACTCTGCAACGCGCGTCGCACTTTCGAGACAAGTTCCAAGGAAGTCGCTCGAAACGAATCAACGACAAAAGGCTGTTATTAAAAAAGACAGTCACCCCGAACCACCCATGCCTACGACAGTCAAATCTCTTGAAGCAACTACGGTTTTGCAATTTGCAAAGCGCAGAACCACGGCCGTACCGGCGCCAAGGCTCCACGCAACCGCGAATTTTGGGTATTTTTTGCGGGCCGTTCCCAAACAATCAAAAACCCCTCCCCCGAACATCCAAAATGCCAACATTTCAAAACCGCAACGATTATGGCTATGTTGGCATGTCGGAAAGAAAATTTTGCCCTTACCAACTCATCGAAAGCTGATGTTTGTGACCCCATGGCCGAGAGGGTCAATAGCATAAGTGTGGACACATCACGGAATTCCAAATTGCAGTAAAATGGCACTTGCAGTGGTAAGAATGTTATTGCAGGAAGCAACGCTTGCGCACTAACAAATAAAAATTCCACAGCAACAAAGCAAAAAATGTGTAAAGTTGTATGCTTGTTCAACAATGAACGCGCAGGATCATTGCGCCGACAAAACACATGTGAGACACCACACATGGTGCAACAAGCTGGACAGGTGAGCTCCAGCATGAACGCCATTGACCATTGACATGGCAAACCCTGTTTCTTGTTTGCTTGTGGCCATCAAACCCGCCGAAAACTCGCGAAACATAGACCACACAAAACCTGAGTCTCGCGCTTTGATGTTCGCCACAGCATTGTCAAAGTGCTGCTTTGTGAGCCGAAAGCAACTTCAACATGCCGTTGGGCAGTGACATTCCAGGCATGGACGCAATGCATGCAAATTTGCACGTCATATGTTGTGGGAGCTACGTGGCTTCGCTTCGGACCTTCAATTCTAGATGGGTCCTGCGCGGAACCCATTTTTGCCAAAAAACCCTGCTATGTTATATGCTATGGAAAATTTGAGACATCATAGGTGTACGAACAGGAAGTCCACACCATACATTCGGGGACGTGTTTATGAAGTTCGGTGGCGAGCTAGAGTGTCCTGCAAAATTGCCTGCAATCCCACAAACACACTTCATGACGTATCCGATCCTGCTTCTCACAACCAAGAGACGCCTTTGGAAAGCTAATGTGATTTTCGGGCACCACATGATGTAAACACCCTGTGACTAAAGCAGCTTTGACAACGACACCGCTTTCCCGGCTTTGGCCCAGTGATTGTAGTGTGTGTTCCTGTTCAGATGCACACGGCTAAGCCCAATTGCACATGCTAGACTGAGACTTGCAATGCCTGACCATTCCTCCCTTCACACAGGTTTCTAGATTGTTTAAGAATTACAAATCTTGCCTGTATTTCCAAGCATTGTTTCATAGATGTTGCCTGCAAGCATGGGCTGACATCATTCATTGGCGTTTTCACCTGCATCACGAAGAACAAAATACATTACATCCAACTGCACAAACATGCAAGCTGGTAAGGGCAGTTTACACCCCATGCGGCGTTCTGTCCCTGTGGCAGTCTAAGGTTCGTGTACACAAACGTGTCTTTCATATCCATTGGATGGACAATGCGTTAAGGTAGGGGCGCATTGCAGATCCACCTGCCTGTCCCATGCACATTGTCGACTTCCAACCAATTTGTTGTTGAGATGTTGGGTGGGTTTGGCGATTGAGCTACAGGGTTGGGGTAAAAGGAGTTCTTGTTTCCGAGAGGAAAGTTAAAATCCCTACAGGGTTTACAACGTAACCAAGTCATAAATTTGGGGTTTCAAGTTGAAGGTCTGAAGGTTTTGGGTTTATGGAGGGGGTAAAGGTTAGGGTTCGGGTATACACCTTGTCTGGCGTTGATACGTCGTAGCCGAGACCGTCCACGTGCGCCAGAACGTGGAGGAAGACCTATGATGAACACACACAATTTGCAGCAACCAACACAACGAGACACAACACAACAATGACACGCTGACACTATCTGCATGTAGGATTATATAAAGCCTATTTAATTTTTATTCGCTAGCGCACTTTCGCACTGCAATCCAAGTTAGTCAGTTGAGATCCGATATTCAGATCAAACAGCTACGTGACACGTTTATAAGGGCTATATAAAAATTCTGAAAGGATTACTTTGTAATTTGTGGACAGGTTGTAGGGTTGTAGCAACAATTTCAATTTTCGCTTTTCTTGGTTGTTATCTCAAGCCCAGCGCTCATCAGAATAAATGCAACTGGAGGTAAGAGCGATGCAGCAACATTCAACAAGACCTTCAAAGTTTTTGTCTGCTGTGTAAAGGCTAAGATACGAGTAATTGAGCCAAGGATTCCTTCCTCCTGACAAATCTACAAATCGTCAAGTTTCAATCGAACTGCACTTAACGGTGAGATTCCAAAGACACAAGCAAACCATGTTGAAGGTGTACAAGGGCACCAGGCTTGGTCAAAGCCTTACAGCAATAGCCCACATGCAGACGACGTTGTTGCTGCGGCTATCGTTGTGATCCTTTCGGTTTACTTGTGTGGCAAGTTTCGGAGTTTGATCAAAAAGAAGAAAAGGAAGGGAAACGGTGAAGGAAAAAGAAGAAGAGCAAGGTGAGGCAGAGGAGACACAAACGGAGAAAAAAGGGCGCGACAGGACAGAAAAACAGCGGTTGAAGAAGAATGCATTATTTCCCCAAATTTTCCAGAAGGCACTCCAAATATCACAGTCCATCTCGATACATATTATTCAAATTTATGCACTCATAAAAATGAAAGCATATAAAATTTGCAAGCAGAGAGGGTAAGGGGGTCATTTTGGTCCCCCCAAAAAGGGTCATTTTGGTCCCCAACCCGGACGCCCAAAACTTTGGCCCGGACAACTCGCACATGTGGCCCGGACAGCCCGGACATGTAGCCCGGACAGCCCGGACATGTGGCCCGGACAGCCCGGACATGTGGCCCGGACGGCCGGATTTTGACCGGGACAGCCCGGACTTTGGCCCGGACAGCCCAGACTTTGGCCCGGACAGGCCTGGATTTTTCGGCCAAAATTCCCACAATATGAAAGATCCTAACATGTCATCATGCATCAGCGCGAAAAAAACAGAGCCATGAATCCTGCCCGGACTACTACCCCGGACTCCCAAGCAACAATATGAAAGATCCTAACATTTCATCATGCATCAGCTATCTACGCCCCCCACCCCCTCAAAGCGAAAAAAATCCATCAGCCATCTACATCCCCCCACCCCCTTAAGGCGAAAAAATCAGAGCCATGAATCCTGCCCGGACTACTACCCCGGACTCCCAAGCAACAATATGAAAGATCCTAACATGTATCATGCATCAGCCATCTTCTTCGGGCGCGGACACTCTGCGCAAGCTATTGCCTCTTCCAGGAGCGCGGTACTCGACCGGGGGGGTGAGACTAAAAAGCAATGCAGGTTCTCGAGAAGCTCGAGAAAGAAAACCTGCAATGCTATAAGGCCTACTACTGTACACTGCCTAC